CAGAAATGTTTCACAATAATAGTCTGAATCAACTGACCCCCTAACAGTCCTCACTAGGCTTCATATAACTGAATCCACATGTCTATTGTCCTTCTTAACACAATATAACCAACTTGAGTATGTCACACAGACTGACTGATCTAAAGCGAGCGATGAAGATGGAAGAGAGCTCGCAAACGGGAAGAGAACGAGTTCAGTCGTCCCCTCCTATTTATGCCTTGTATCCGTACTCGTCTCCGTACTTGTATTCCTCCGTAATCGATACTTGTACTCGATGTCTCCGACCACTAGTTGCGTAGTTCTAACGTACAGTCCGTAAAATAACATCTGCATCCTATCAATCAAAGTTGACAGGCCGTCTGGATCTCCTCGTACCGTTTCCCAAAATAGCACGCGTTGGCTTTGAGGTTGTTATCAGCCCGACCCAATAAGCCACCTGTTATCGGTTGCATCAGACCAATACTGCGTCTCGGCTTCTCGTTCGTTATCAGATTTGTAACTAGTGGCTAGGCCTACCCTAGTCACATATATATTCTTTTACTGCTCATCTTGAAGGTATTGTTGAGTAAAATTCACACGAATAAGCTTGTAAGCAGAAAATATTAAAGAAAATAAATAGAATACCCAGGAGAGATATATTATAACGAGGCCAATGTACTTTCAAGTTTAATAGAGACAATATTTTTTCAAGTTTAATGAAGACAAAAGTACCAGATAGTTTCTTTATTATTATTTTTACATGGGAGATTGATTAAAAAATGTATTTCAAACATTTTAAAAAGTAAGTTAATTGTGAGGATTATAAACAGTTAGGGAGAGGAAATGGAAATTGAAAACTGATGACGACGTGTGGTAAATGCTCCATAGGCTCGGGTGTGGGGAAGTTAGAAATATATGAGAAGACAAACGTCATCTTTCACGTTGACAATTTTTACTCCAATTATTCACTCCTAATTTACATGCTCACTAATGTCTTGAATCAGTGCTAAATCCACACCCTTACACACCTATTTACCACCTGCAATCAATAATTTCTCCTTACTCATCAACTACAATCAATGACTAATCTACACCCTTACATCCAAAGTCAGTGTCCCTGATGCACCGGACCTTCAGTCAAACGAACGTGGCCCTTATGTAGTCAGCGGATATATCCACCTGACTTGTGACTCTAAGACTCAAAACGTGAGAGCCTACAATTTCTATAAAAATGGATTTCTAAAAGTCAAAATGAGTTTTAATTCGTATAACCTGTAAGTATAATTTTAATAAAGTTAATATAATTAACTAATTAATCTGATCAATCGCTCCCGAAAAACAAGCCAATCAAAATAGCCCCGACTAAATGGCCCCAATTTAGACTTAATATACACAGCAAACGTAACCATACCACCTCTAATACCACCATAAACCTCTGCCTGTTATTAAAAAATTAAGTTTAGAACAGTTAAAGTCAGTCAGACATTAATGTGTAAAAACTTTACTAAAAAGATAAAATGTCAATGTATTGCAAAGATCATGCAGAGTAATGATTATTGTCATTTCCTCCACCCACTCTTTAGCCTCTATTATGGGAACCTATGTGTCGGGAGATGGAGTGATGTGACCCATTTGTCACTGGTTCTTTTGAAAGAGTTGATTTGACAGGGTTATTGTGTGGGGGCCGTTTTGTCGCGGCAGTTTTGACGCTGAATGTATGTTTTCAAAATATAGTTAACATTCTCTAAATGATTAATAATCATTGTCTTAATATATCATGAACTGCCCAGTAGGTCGCTTTAGCTGTTCGGGAACGTGATTAGATTCTCATACCTGTCTATCATTAGGGTCCTACAAACCTGTTTATGCTTCCTCATAGAGTTCAATTGAGAGAAGACACCACCTTCCAAAAAGGTTTAATGTGCACTTAGAGGTAATCCATAAAGACGCCACACTCGTGGGGGGAGAGGGGGTCGTTATTTTTTTGGGACGTGTGTGATGAGGGGGAGTAGGGGTGGGTTCAGATGGTGTGACGTCACACTTTTGCATTATAAAAAAGCAATGTTAAATAACGAATTTTAGCCTTTATTTTGCGTTTTAGACAACTGTTTTAATTAATTGTAGTGAGGCATTGATTTAAAACTCTATGTTGCCAGAGTTCAGGCAAAATTTTGGAAAAATATCGTATTTTAAGAAAAATTTAACTGCAATTTTGAGGGGGGGGGGGGTTTAAAATAAATAATTCAGTCTTATCAAGCTTTTTGTGTTTGCATGTCGTTGTTACCGTACATACAAGTTAGCATGCAAAGTAACAGATTCAACAGGGGACGAACAAGGTCGCCTATATTAAGCCTACACTTGCTATTCTCATTCAAACGTGGAAGATAGTTGATCCGGGAAGGAGAAAACGCTGACGTCATTGGGAGCGGGGAGATGGTGGGGCACTACGTGACAATATTTTTATGTTTAGCAGAACAAATGTTTAGTGCCAAAAAATTAACACTTGTAATCGATTGCCCAAAGAATGGTAATTAGACCAAACTTCTTTTGATAAATGTGTAAGAAATTAACAAGAACACAGCTTTAATAAAATATTAAATCAAATGAAAAGTAGGATGGTAATTAAATTTTGATATTTTAACATAAAAATTTACTGGAATTTTTTTTTGTCGACCTCATCATGACTTGCAAAAGGTCTGCTATTAATAGCGTTTGTTTTGCTTATCAATCAATCATTTTTGTGTTGCAATTAACATGCAATTAGCAGTTATTTTTTTTAATCTATGGGTGCGGAGTTGCCGAAACTCATAAAAAAAGCTTTTCAAAATTAAGTGATGCTGTTTATTTAACATCACACCCACTGCCTTATATAGGAAATGATGTTCGCACCAAAAGCAACCTGGAAATCACCTTCCCCAACCCCCGAAAAAAATATAATTTTGTAAAGGGGTTATACGTCTCTAAATTTTAATGTTAAAACTAATGCAAAGCTACTTGTTGAAGCTGTTTATATTATTAAGTGAATAGTTTAGAAATAATGCTGCACTGATAATCTGTTATTCACATTGAAATGTAGATATGAATGGAACGATGATTTTTCTGGAAACTATTCTTGCACGGCTTCAAACTCAGTTGGTGAATCTGCACACAGCAATAGTCTTCTCTTAATCGTTTTGGGTAAGTTTACATTTTTATAAAGTAGAAAATAATCAATTTTCATGCAACAGTTACTCTAACTTCAAAGAATTTTTTTTGTGAATTAAATATATAATGAGTATTTAAATTCTCAATGTGTTTTTTTCTTTTATTTGTATGAGTTTTATAATAAAATAAACGATAATACATTTTAAGTCGGAGTGATCGGGAGGGTAAGCTCATGGTTGCCAACCCGAAAGTCCAAAGTTCGAACCCGCGGGAAGAAGAGGCTTAAAAAACAAACAACTTGGAGCCTTTGTTTCTTCCAGGCAACTCTTGGGGGGGGGGGGGGGGGTCAGAGCACCCTTCCCCCCTTCCCACGAAGAGAGTCTACCGCTCCCTCCGAAAGAAATGGAATGTATATAGAAAAAATAAACTTTTCACAATGTCCCCCATCCCCGGAATTTTTTTTCCGCTCCCTCCCCCGAGAAAATTTCAAGCGACCCCCCCCCCCCCACCTGGAAAAAAGAGTCAGGAAGAAACACTGTTTGGATCCCTTTAGGATTACCAACTCTGGTTTGTTTTCGGTAACTAATGTTACACTGCTGATTTCAAGTAATATATTGTTGCCAATGTAAAATACATTGTTGTCAATGTAACAGACCCCCCTCTATTGGGGGTCTGTTACATTGGCAACATATGGCTCTTTTGATGTTACCGCCAAGACCATGTGCAATTATCGAATTTCAGGTCCACCAACTCTGATATCAACGAACGATTATCCACAAATAGGCGATGATGTAACATTGACTTGTCAACCCCCCATTCAAGTTATTGGAATTAAATTTATTTGGTTCAAGTAAGGTTCAAACTCTAGGCGAACGGATATTTTAAACGTATTTAACCTTAAGTGAAAAAAAATCTAAAGAATTGAATAATTTAGCTAGGAATTAACATATTATCTAATGTTGACTGATTTCGATACTTTCTTAATGTGGGTGTGTGTGTGTGTGTGTATGTGTGTGTGTGTGTGTTTCATGATTGGGTTTTCTACATTTTTTAATTATTTATTTTTTAATTATCGATAGCTGTTATTTATGAATGTATACTAAACTTATAAATAATAGCAACATTCAGTTATTTGTACACACAATTTTATTTTCTCTTAGAGGTGTCGACGTGTTGGCCAATGCCTCTGAACAAGTGTACACTAAAACAAATGTTAGCGCTGTCGACGCTGGAGAATATAAATGCTCATTTGAAATCAATGAGTTTATGGCGTTGCGGAGTTCTGGTTATATATTAGTTTGTGAGTTAATATTTTAACTTTAAAAATAGTATAGGCCTACCACTAATGAAGATTGAGATTTTAAGATGTATATAAACAAAAATATGTTTTAAATAAAGAAAAAAATATTTAAACTAATTTATTTCTGACGCGATTGGTATTTCTACGTGCAATTTTTAATGTAGAATCTAGGCCTTACTCATTTGTTTTTTAATGTCTACAGTCACACCTCCAGAGAAACCTTCTATAAGTTTGCGAAGTGATTCAAAAGTCAACTTTGGTTCTTACATCAGCTTTCAGTGTCGTGCCAATGATAGCTTGAACTTTGGTCTTCTAAGGTAATCTATTTGAATAAATTAACGTTTCGTCACTCATCTAGGCTATTTGTTGATGAGAAGCTGGAAAACAGCTATGTAATTTAAGGTCATATAAAAACAAACTCAAAACAAGAAACAAAAAAATATTTAATTGTGATAAAATTACAATACTTACATTGTGCCTGTGTCATTGCAGTGTGTGTCTGTATCAAAATGGTGTAAAAGTTGCAGAAAGAAACGGAAGTCTTGGATATGCCAACTTCTTTATACAAAGAACAACTATGAGAGATTCTGGAAACTACACATGCACTTTTACAAACAAAAGAGGAGAATCTGTTCAAAGTGGTCCTGGATCTATTCAAGTGAAAGGTACAAACTGGTGTTGATAATTTAAATTACATTTGGAGTAAATTTTATTAAACATGGCTTCTTAAAACAGACGTTCGGAGCCTAGGTATATGTCTTGTTAATTGAAAAGACTTTAGTTTGAAAAATAGAAAAAGAAAAGAATTACAATACATACTACTAACAGCATACGATATGTATAGTATGTAATATTTAATAGACCTACTTATTTGTGGGTTTTCCACACAAAAAAACAATACATGTATACATTAAAATTATACCATTACCCTTATGTGTTGTATAGTTGCAATACATTTTTGTTCAGAATATGACATTGTGTCTTAGGTACAGAGGCGTAGCTAGGGGGGGCGGGGGGGGGGGGGGCGGCCGCCCCGGGCGCCGACCCTATGGGGGCGCCAAACGGGGTGGGAAAATTTTTTTAAAGCTGATGTTATGCTGCAGTTTTGAATTATAAACTGTCTAAGTTAAGAAATGTAATGGCTACACGCCTTTACATACTGATTTAACTGTTTTCTTTCTTGATTTCTTAATGTAAATCATATCACTCTTAAGAAACAGTGACCGGCAAAACCGCTTTGAAGCTTTTCCTAGATGGGGGGGGGGGGGGCGCTTTTTCGAGACTTAAATCGGAAGAATTTACACTAGATTGTTGAGTCGATAAACGTTACCACTATTAAAAGAAACCAATTGTATTAAAACGTATTGTACGATTGTTGAACTGTAAAATACGTTAGTGACTTTTATCAAGATGGTGCAGGAGGGCGCTTTTAGGCTAAATAAAATAGCAAAATTACACAGGATTCTGAGTAAACAACCTTTAGCTCTCAGAAAGAAACGAATTGTAATGTACATTGTATAATTGTGTAACATTTTTAAAAAAAAAGTTAGTTACGTTACAAACCGCTCTACAAACTTTGTCCAAGATGGTTGTGATGAGTGTGTGTGTGGGGCGCTTTTTTCGCTAACAAAAATCGCAAGTATTTGTACTGGATTGGTGAGTAGATAACTCTCTTAACACTTAGTAAAGAAACCAAGTGTATTAACGCGTAATGTACAATTTCACTAGCCAGTTTTGTTAAAAAAAAAGACGCGACTAGTTCTTTGTAAGATTCTTACGATTCTCTCAACTTCAACGTGAGAGATCAGATACTTTTGATTGATTGCATTACATCTTGCCTGGATCACTGAACTGTATTAAAGAGAACTAAATACCACGGATTCTTGAATCCCTATCCGATCAGTACAATGGTATACGGTCGGAGCAGGTGGGCGGAAGACGATACAGTTGCCGAAACTTTAAGAGCTAAAAACATTTTTTTTTGTTTCGGTTTCCTAAGGAGTATAGGCGTAGGCAACACTTGGTCAACTCAAATGATTTTTATGAAGCTCGAACCCTAATAATCCAACCTCCCACATCTCTATTTCAAATGATTTCCTTCAGGACTTTTTGTCTCCTTCTCTTTTCCCGTGGACTTTACATCAGCACCTACTTAGTGATGTTATTTACTGATATTGTGCCACTAACCACCACTTTTTTCCATGCTCTTATTTCATTCTCCACTGTCTGTAATCTAGCTCCGAGCCATACAGTAAAAGAGACCACATTTAGTTATAGATGCTGATTGAATTTTTTTGACAATGCATTTGAATTCCACATTTTCTTAGAGTGTTAAAACGCGTTTTATTGCTGCTGATTATAATCAGAACGTCGTGGGCTATCATTAAGTTGATTGTTACTGCTTCTTCAATCAATACAATTAGTTCTGCATTTGTTGTTGACGTTGTGCGAGCAGTGTTTCTTCCAGACTTTTTTCTCCGGGGGGGGCACTTGAAATTTTCGGGGGGGGGGGGGGGGGGTCGGACACTGTTAAAAGTATATATTTTCTATATATAAATTATATAAATTTCATTTCGTGCTTCGCCCCCCCCCCCCCCGAAAAGATGCCTGGAAGAAACTCTGTGTGCGAGAAGACAGGGCAAATCTTCGAAATCCAAGACTACGAGCTGTTAACATCCGTTGGATTCCAGTTTGTTTTCTCTAGCTTGTTTTGTCATACCATCAACCAATCTACGAAATACCCATGTCGTATTCCAATGTGAACAATAAATATTTCTGATAACTTATTCTTGTATGACACTTGTGTGTCCTTACTCTAACAAACTTCGAATCCAACTATGTACCATATCACAACAGAGATCGTTCCAAAACTAGAACATAAAAGGCTGGTCTAAACAAATTAGCGTTAGCTACAAACTACCCTCTAACACAGATCAGGCTTATTTTTTTTTACTGACATTACTAATCTTTCGCAAAAAAAGTTAAACGCATCTTAATGGGAATTAAATTGTCGTAAAGTTTTAAGGAATGAAAATCATACAATCATTACAATGTAATTATTAAACCTTGTCCGGATGGAAGCACACACGCTTACACACACGCTTACACACACACACACAAATACACTCTTACCCACACACAAGCTTATATATAAACACACTATCACACACACATAATTATATACACACACATGTATATATATATATATATATATATATATATATATATATATATATATATATATATATATATATATATATATATATATATAAGCGGGGGGGGGCGCCAAATTGAAAGTTCGCCCCGGGCGCCGGGAAGGGTCGCTACGCCTCTGCTTAGGTAGACAGTAACTAGATACTGCCTACCTTAATTTTCAACCAAACTGCATTTTCTATTCAGTTTTGATATTTAATGTATACAGTTTTTAAATATATAAGTAATAAATGCATTAAATTTAACTTTTTAGATGTACAAATAGAAAAGTCTTCTTTATCACAAGTACCTCAGATAATGAATAGAGATGAAAATTCTCAAATATATTGCTATAGTGAAACATCTGTAGTAACTGGTTACTGCACCTTGTACATTAATAACATAAGGTATTTTTAAAACACCAATCTTAAACATGTTAAAATATGTTTATGTGCAAAAGTACTCAAATAAATACTTTTAAGTACATAAAAAAACTGTTTTTAAAATATAAGAGTATTCTCTTGATGAAATAAATTATTTTAAAAATAATGGGATTTTTTTTACATTAAATTAAAACAATTTTTTGTGCCTGTAACAGATATGTTGATGATAAGGACTGTTCAGTGTACCTACCACATGCTATTAGTGGATCCTACACATGCACCATAAACATTTATAACAAAACTGGGCTTGTTAGTCCACCAGCACAAGTCACATTTTACAGTAAATAACATTTTTTTTTGTTTTTAAAATTGGAACATTTGAAAACCTAACATATTTTATATAAAGATGTATACATTTAATATTCATATTTACTTTCATATTATTTCAGACAAACCTCGTGTTTTACAAATCAAAAACTCTTTCTTGAACCAAAATTTTGCATTGAGATGTATCACAGATATACCCAGTGGTACATACTCCTGGTTCAAACAGGGCATTTTAGTTTATTCTTCAAACAATGATACATATGAGTTTACTCTAACAAGTGATATAGCCAGGTTGTACCACTGTACAGTAAAAATTAATGAATCTGATATATGGAGTGAATATTACACTCTAAGTGGTTTGTATACAATTCTGTTTTTCTAGATATTTATATTTACAAATGTAAGAGAGCTAACTCTGTTATATACTAGCATCATCATCAATTTGTGTTAATTCAAATTCAGTACAATAAAGTTTTATGTGAGGTCAAACATATAAATGTACAAACACATTATATAAAATATTTATATATATGTATTGTGTAAAAACTTTTTTATAATGCTAATTGTAACAACTTAAAACTTTTAGTTTCTAGACCTTCCAAACCCGCTTTAAGCAATAATGATATGGAATCAAGACTGGATTTTAATAAACTAATTTCAACAAACTTCTATTGCTCTAATAATGATGCTGAGATGTATACTTTATATAAGAATGGAATTAAAGTGTCTTCTAAACCTGCAAGTAACAACACATTTACAGTAGTTCTGTCTCGGTTGGACACAGTTCAGTACACATGCACTGGTTTAAACATATTTGGTGAAAGTGAACAAAGCGAACCAATCTACATCAATATGAAAGGTTAAAAATAATTTGTTGCTTTTATTTGTCTACTTCAACAATGTAATCTACATAAAATATTGATTAGAAATGACTTCTAAATTCTAAATAATTCTCTCATTGGATTTTTTTGTTATACATTATTGATAATCTTAAACGTCTAAAAATACTTCTAAAATGAAAGAGGCAAATATATTTTTGTACCAGCAATCATGTTTTATGCACAAGTGAGTCATTGTAAGAGTTGATGAGATGCATTTTCATTTTATGCATGTTCATAATAAAATAAGTGCGCTAATTTGTAAAATTAAATGTTAATATTAGCCTTTATTTTATTTGTTATTTATTTGATTTAGAGGCTGTTTATATAACTACCAGCAGTGAAGTGGCCTCTGTTGGTCAGCCTTTTTATTTGAACTGCAGTACTGAAAACAATTTGTCATCTGGATCTTACACTTGGGAAATTCACAAGTAACTGTTATGTTACGTTGTAAAATTAATTTAAATTGACTATTTCAAAAATGGATATTTAACAATTATTAAATAGTGATTTTCTCTATTTAATGAGAGAAAATGTTTTATTATAATTTAAAATAAAATTTTTATCAAATTTGAGATCTAATTTTTCAACAAATACTGCAATATCCTTACTAATATGTGTTATTATCATAAAAAGATACACTATTAGGTCAAATTAGCTATTATTTTACAAGAAAAACACATTAGATATATGACTAAAATTAATAAAACAATTTTAGATTTGCAGGCATCAGTTATGTGATACCATCTCAAAATCTAACTTTCGATCCATTAACTCAGCAAGATGAAGGCATCTACATTTGTAAATTTAAAAAACAGGAGTCTATAGCAATAGTTCACAATTATTATGTTCTAGCTGGTGAGTAATGTTTTTGTTATTTTAATCTCTCATGTTATTAAATATATTTTAGAACTATATTAGAAGCAAATTTTGTTTGATTTCAGTTTCACTCCCTATTGTACCTAAAATTGTATTAAGTATTCAAGTGGGTATGGCTGATCAAGATTCAAGATATTCTAAAGCAAATGGCAGTGGGCTATCTACAGAAGACCCCAAGATCATTGCATCATTGAGATGTTCTATTGACACTTACCTAATCAATGCAAGGAATCCATTCAGGTTTATAGTTTTAATAACCTTTGTTAAAACTCCTAAAATGTTACATTGATTGTGATTTTTCTAGAACCAATATATGTTTTTTAATAAATATATTTTCTGTTATTTCAATTTTTTTTATATTAACAAACTTATCTTTTTGATAATGTTTTAAATAAATCACTGTTTAGCTGAGGAGAAAAAGTATTTGCCTATCAAATTGAATGTTTTTTAGGAATAATAGTTAGAAATGCTTACTTTAATTTTACCACAAAAACAACTAAAGTGTTTTGGATTAGCAGCATCATTATTTACAACTTGATATTCTTAGATAATTAATGGTGAAATATTTAACCAGTGAAACTAGAGTTAATAAGTATTTTTTGTATAATATTAAAAAAATATTTTACTTCATTAAATTATATTTGTAAATTATTTTTTTTTCAATCAATGATAGTCATTAATCAATATCTGATTCAGGCTTTATAAAAATGGAGTTGTAGTAAAAAATGTGCCCTATGTGGATGAGCTTTACTTCTGGGGAAGATTTGACATTCTAAGAGTCTATTCAATAGATGCCAATATTGCATCTAATGAAGGAAATTATACCTGTACAGCACTCAACTCAGTTGGGGAATCTCAGCCATCAAAAGCTGTGTACATTACCAGATGTTTAGGTGGGCTGTCTTTCAATATTTAGCCACTTTTAAAATATTCCTATTTTAAAATAAAAATGAAAAGCTAAAGGAAGATGGCGTTTTGTTTTGCAAAAATATAATGTTATGCTTTGCTATTCAAGCTATCTGATTGGGTTATCAAAACTAGTTGAAAAGTTGAAAAAAGTATTACCTAGATATTTTATATTGTTTATTTTATATTCCTCATATTATATTTGCAGTATTTATAAAGCCTCAAGTTACCATGAACAACCTAAATCCACAAGCTGGTGATAACATTACACTTACATGCAACATATTGTCACCACAACCAGACTTCATTATAACGTGGCAGAAAGATTTCTCAACCATACTGAAAACTGGAGTTACTCTCTCCCTCAAATCTCTAACAGTAGAAGATCATGGTTTCTACACTTGCACTTATTCAAATCCATCTAATGATGAAGGCTATTTCTGGTTAGAAAAGGTTTCAGATCCAATTTTAATTTCATGTAAGAGACCAATGACATTGATTGTATTTATCCTAATCATAATTAACTAATTGTGCACAAATATAAATGATATGACTTTAAAAAATTAGTATTCCAAATCTTGTAATTCTATCATGATTGTTTTAAATAGTTGACATTATATTTCCTTAGTGCTACCACCTCTACAACCAATTTTGTTGTTTGATGCCAATTATATCGACATAAAGAACAAATATTATGCTTATGGTGATGGACCTGTATTTCATACATTTGGCGAAGAAGACAGACTGCATTTAAAGTAATTATATACGTGAATATAAACAATAAACTTGCCTAAATATTTTAGTTTTTAAAAAATATTTTGGTTTAATAAAAGCAAAAGAATTCCTGAAAATGCATTATCCTTTTATTATTCTAATTATTCTCAGTTATCTAGTAAATAAGCCTTTCCATAAATATATTTAGAAAAATATCTAACTTTTATTATTTTATAACTTCCTTATTTTATATTAGGTGCTTTGTGCAAGCCATGTTTATAAATGTCTTCGAGATTTCCAGTATGATGCCATCACCTTACAACTTTGCTCTATATAAAAATGGTCAAATTACTCAACCTGCAAACACAAATGGAATGTTTACCATTTCTGGACTTACAAAAGGAGACTACAATTACACTTGTGAAGTTAGCCATGAAGCACAGCAATCTTTTATGAGTTACCCTCTCTTAGTAAGGATAACTGGTGAGTATAACAATGTTTTGTATTATGATCAATTCATTATCATATTATTGTTAATGTTTTATTATGTACAGAAATAATATGACCAATGCAATAATCATGTATTTTCTTTGACCATTGTACACGTGTTATTACAAGAAATATAATGATATGTAGCTAACAAATAGAATTATTTATTTAGATCGACCAACCATTACTCCTTCTGTGCCATCTCCTTCATTGGGTGCTAACCTCACCCTAACCTGCAACACTCTTGTGGAATCTAACAGTATTGACATTACTTGGAGAAAAAATGGAATCAATATGGAATTTACATCAAATATTCTCAGTTTGAATAAAATATCTCAGTATGATAAAGGATCATATACGTGTCAGCAAACAAATATGGAATGGACGACACCATTGAGTGCAGAATTCATAATTAATTGTTTGTATCTCTTTGAAACAAAAAGACAATATAGTTAGATGGTAAAGCTTACAACTGCTAGAAAGTCTCTGATTCAGATCCCTACATAGGACATACTTGAGTGTGTGTGTTTGTGTCTGTGTATGTGCGTGTGTTTTGTGTTTATGTGTATGTGTGTATGTGTAATGATAATTTGATTAAGTTTGCTATTTTCTTTATGCAGTTGGGACAGTACCTTCAAAACCCGAAATTTTTACCTCTGCTGACACCCCGTTAAAGTCTGGGCTAACGTTTGAAATCTATTGCCTCGCATCTGGAGCTCCGCTTATTTCTGCCACTATTTATAAGGATGGAAAAGAAGTATTTTATTCTGCTAATGGATTTTTCGACGATGCGGGACAAACTTTATTTACATACCAAATAAGTGATGCAACTATAAAAAACTTAGGCAATTACTTATGCGTTGTGGAGAACATTGTAGGCTTTTCTAGAACGAGTGATAATTTATTTCTGTTTATAATAGGTTAGTCTGCTTATATTTTTACACATGAAAAAAAAAACTTTTATTTTTAAATATTTAATCTATTGTCCAAAATTTGAAAGAATTTTAATCACTACTAAATTAAAACTTTTGCAGATGATGATGCTTGCGGTCATGGTTTTTATAAATCCATTTCTGGTAGTTGTCAGCCTTGCCCGTCTGGCTCTTACAGGGTAATCAACGAACGGCTGCCATGCATACCCTGCTCAGAAAACGAACTAGCTCTACTCAGAGTTTACTCGAAATACATTAACTGCATAGGTAACATTTTTCTTATTAATTATTTATTTTATGTTCATTTACTATATCATTATTTATAATTATACGCCCACGGTGTTTTTAAATATGTATTAATACCAAATCAAAACCGCACCTGTAAAGAAATAGGCTACCGTTTCGTAATAAGGGCCTACTGTTTTTCGAATTTATTCATCACTCGGAATGTGTTACTTACCTTCTCTCCAATAATTTTTTACCGACCGATGAAGAGCTCTTGAAGTGATACTTCTATGTTTTATAAGAGGTACTTAAATAAAGCTTTAAAAACAAAGAAAAGTAAAAGGTAAGTTTAAACAGTTTTTTATTTTATTTATATGAACTGAAAAACATGTTAAATTTTAATTTTAAAAATAGTTTAAGTGTCAGCTAATTATTTATTGTATGATAATTTAACTTAAATTAATTTGTTCTCGTTTGCACTTACTTTGTAACATTAAACATTTTAAAAGTATATGTAAAGCATTTGCATTAAACAAAAATAGCATAATCACTAGATATAAGTACTTTCAAGATGAGCCACTGCGAAGCTGAGTCAAAGATCATTATATTATTCATTACGGAATATGTGTCACTTCTTATGAAGGGTTCGCAGTTTATAAACAGTAAGTGAAATATAAAAGCGTTTACTGTAAATTCATATCACTAATTTAAATTAGACACATTTTCGGTACTTGTGTTAAGTGGTTGCAGTAGTTGCCCTGGTATCATCAACAGGTCCATGGATGTGGACATACGTGCCAACCAACAAGTCACTTTAAACTGTTTTGGCGAACCTTATTAAAATAATAGGAATCCGCAAATTAAACATTATTTTTTCTTTATCAAAATATCTTACACATATTGCAACCTAACATACCGTTTTTATTTCCTTACAGCTAGCGCCTAAAGAACAGAATGAACGTTTATTTTGTGTACTAATTTGTGAATTATGTCACATCCGTGACACCAGATGAATGTTCGTCATGTGATTGTAGCGGACCACCGCTACAGAACTACAAATTTGATACAATACACTTATCTGAAATTTCATCAACGTAGCTGTAACGGTACTCGTGTTATCGTGTTCACAGACACACATAAACACACACAGACACACACGCACACACAGAAAAATGTTTTGTAAAACTGAAGGCTCAAATGTAAGATTATTAATAATCCTCCAAATTGAATTAGATTTGAATATGTGTTTAAAGTTAGAGCTATGAAAAAAAAAAGAAGTAAAGAATTGAGTAGTTTTTTGTTTTTTTAATATACTGATTAATTGATGTGAGCGGGTGAATGGATTATTTATTTTGTATTATTTTATTTGGCAATATAATAAAATTTATTTAACAAAAATATGGAACCGAAACTTACATAAAAATAACTAGATCTCTAGAATCTAGATCTAGACAAAACAAAACAATTTATATACAACAAAACATTACGTTCGACCATTTAATGGTGTTGCACCGACTTATGATGTCTAGGATGGTCCAGGTCCTGACACACAGAAACCTCCCTTCATCGATTCTCGACATCCAAAAGTCCACACCCAACAAAACACTACGTACTACTACTACGTACAATACATTACGTAAAAAACAATATATACAAAACAAACTTTTTACACCAAACAAAACACCCAGACAAGTTGTCCAAGCAACCTCACTGGAAGGGGGGGGGGGAGAAAAAGAAAAGGAAAACATAAGAAAAATGCATGGAAAAATACATACATCAATATATACATATGTTTAAATATTAATAACTTCTGCTAGAGATATCTAAAGCCTCGAGTAAAACTAATCCCTACTATTACAATTCTAAAAGCAATTGTCAAAAGCACAACTAACCACTGTCTAACCAAAAACTAGCAACTTAAAAATAACGTGTAAAACAAATTCATTGTAGAACCAATCTTTCCTACACCACGAGCAGCCCGAAGCCATTGGTCTACCTATACAACATCCATATTGATAACATTGAAGTTAACACACTCCGCTAAGGCCCCAATTAAGGCAGACACAAAGCAAGCGATACTCAACATGACGTTGCACGAAACAGCACACACATTAATTTTAAACAACCTAAAACTCGAGGCAACTAAAATACTCATTACTGTCTAAAACGACTGACTATAGACTAAGCCAATCCTAGTCATCGTGGGGAACCCACAATAACAACTCATCATAATAAAGCAAAACAAGTAAATGCATACATGCATTCGCACCAGTTTAGGAAACACTCCTAAACACACTGACCTAAACCACGTGGTTTAAAACACGCCAAGGGTTTAGAAAATACAAAAATACATTTTAAATCTTTCTAAAAGAACACAACACGTGCATACCAGACATGCCGATGCTCACTATCTCGTTTTAGACGAAAATGAAAGAAAACGAGAAACATCGGCAGTTGCATTCATACAAATCACTCATATAAAAGTAAAATAAAAACAAATACCTTCACGCGTGAGGTGCGCCACGCGCCCACGCAGAAACCGACCCTATCTATATCTTGCCTCGGGTCAAAAAGAAAGAAAATTATCCGAGCGGTCAATTTATATACTGACCGCTTCGGGCGGAAGGGGAACCCCGTGGCCGCTCCCCATTGGATCATCCACTCGCAGATTCGCACCAAATAAAATAATACAAAATAAATAATCCATTCACCTGCTCACATTGTTTAGGTTATTAACCAGTCTGGGTTTATCCGGGCTTGCACTGACCGGACAGTAGTTAGTTAGATAAGCCTAGAAGGGTAGATTTTAGGTATCCCCCCTAGCAGGGCTTACATTGATATAAATCGATATCCAGTGGAGTTTCGCTGCTGTAATTTGGTGCAAACCCAGAACTGGCGCTAGACAAAACAGTTAAAAAACTGATTTCAACTGTCAATCTCTGCATGCCTATACACGTCAATTTAACTATATATATAATTCTCTACGTGGGGATCATGGGAGATACCACCAAGACGTAAGCTTTAAACGATTTGAAATTAAGGGGAGGTAATATCATGTTCTGCTTTGCTATTTTCATTGTCGTCTGTAAACTGTCGTCACAGACGGCTGATTTCACGGAGGCAAGGGGGTCGGGAGGTGGAGAGGAGTGAAAAGTGCGGGTGAGGATAAACGACCTTCGCTAGTTAGTGATAGTGTTCTCAAGCAAAATATTATCAGTCACAGCATTGTTAGTGTTGAATTCACAAATTATGAATTACTGAAAAATAGGAATTAAACTAAATAGAGGCGTATGCTACGTCGCGGATTAGCTCGTACTTTTAAGTGAATTCGACAACACGCAACAAAACTACCAAAAGTTATAAAAATGTACCCATTAAATACGTCTGGCTTTGGAATAAATTATAGGAGTCTGCGTAAAGCTCATGGTTGCTAAACCGAAAAATCTCGAGCTCGAACCCTCGGACAGATGAGGCTTGTTAGCTGGGGAAAGCCACTCTTCTAGGAGATCAAAAAACTGCTGCCTACTAGTTTGTTTTTGGTTGGACAAATGCTATGGAAGCAAATCCAAAAAGAAAAGCAGGTTGAAATTGTAGTCAGTAACCTCAATGACGCATAACCAATTGTGTTGGACGGGACCCCTGCCAACACAAAAATTAAGAACGAAGAAGAAGAAGAAGGATAAGGAATAAATGATAGCTTCGCCAAGGATGACTAAAGCCTATTTGTCTCTTGTTATTAACAAATTTTCTAAAAATAGTAAAAAGAGGTAGACATTCCAATTTTGCCTTTCTCTTGCAATTTTCTAGTCAGTTCACTAAAATAGTCCTCTTCTTGTC